GTTGTACGTTCGAGTGAAATATCAGTGACGAATCAGTGAAGTGGTTATCGGTGGAGACGCTTTCGAAGTTGAGTCAGTCAGCTGTCAGAGTGTATCGTACCCTATCTGCCAAAACGATAATAATATCCGCGCTTGCACCGACTGATTTCTCATTCGTCGATGTTAAGTCAGCACTGATCTTAAAAAGAACTCGAGGGATTTTAGTTTTTGTAGAATTTGTCTTCTAAAGTTGTTTGAAATTCGAGAGACCAGCACGTAAGACGCTCTCGGGTTGCAAAAGTTGCGAACATATGCGTGCAGCAGAAATTGCAGTCTTGTAAAGCTATCGCTGTGTTACGTACGAGAAGCACAATGCTAACAAATTGCAACGTTCGCGGCCGAAAAATGGCGAGTGGACGCGTGGCGGCGACAGATTGCAAGAATGCGACACGTGCGACACTTTCTAAGATCTTGATGACCCGTGCACAATTACCTGCATACCGCGTAAATTATTCCGTCGAATTTGTACACATATGGCCCTGGACCTGGAGCTTCCCTTCTGCGACGTACAAAGGTAGGGAGGAGAGAAAAGAAAATAATTTTACCAAATTGCAACAGAAATTGCAAGAGTCCGCAAGGAACCAAACGTTTCACCAAATAACCGGCCATTCCCCCTTCGTGTTGTATTCAGTTATCTTTCCAGAAAGCTTTTTTTTTTTTTTTTTAAAAAGCATAGCATAAAATAAAATACAATACAAGTTACGTTGGTAGTGCAGATAGTTACACTACTTTCTTTGTTCCGACGAAAGACAAGTCCGTCTCGTAAGCTTTTTTAAACACGTGCGTACGCGTTTTTAAAAACGAAAGAATCGTCTGGCGTCGATCGCGTCGGGCTCGAACCACCGCGTCGCAAAAATTATAACAGGTGACAGATAGAGCCCATGGCTCGCACAGGCGGCCGTTCTACACGAGAACGTCGTGTTGTTGCGCAGCTCTCTCTCTTTCTCTCTCTCTCTCTCTTTTGTTACCCGGCTTCACCGAGCTTCACGCGTCAAGTGCGCGAATATTTTTCAACTTTCGAATTGTTCGACGGTATGCTGTGAGTCTCGAGTGCCTGGCGTTCCTTTTGGTCCCATTTGGTGCCTTCGTAAAATGACATCGCGTCTCGCGCAAAAGAACTATGTACAAACCACCTTCTCACCGATAGGCCAAGTATCTATCTACTAAATTCACTCGAAAGAAATGAAAAATAATATCAATATATTATTTATCATATTATAAAATACACGTATTGAAAATATGCTGAGACCGTCTGACCATCCATTATATATTTCAACTCTTTCAACTTGAGGCTGCAGGGCAATTGCTTTTCGACGAGTCGATGGAAACGAAAAGTTTCGTAGATACGAATTAGAAAATCTCTTAATTACAAATTACAGTGATCAGCTATGATCAAAGTCGGCATCCTACGTCAGGAACATCGCACTGACGTAGGATAACAGGGCGGAAAAAAACGGTTTTCCAGTTAAGTTTTTAGAAGGTACAGGGGTTGGGAGGGAGTGAATCGAGACACGAGCACTTAGGCCAGCCCTAAAATACCGGGCCGCCCTTTGTGTTCGGCAAACCTGGAAGCCGTCGGAATTTCTAAAGCAGCCGTTCGACAATTCGCCTCTCCCTTGTGCTCGGTAATGGGATAAATGATGCTTGGCCCTTTGGTCGTTACACAATTTAATCGAGCAAACTCACCGTTTGACGGACTCAAAGCCTGCGAGCTTTCTCGCCGATAGCCTTTATCGATATTTGATATTCACCTCGTCCTGATTCCCTCCAATGGACAACGATGGCTCCTCTCGGGGCGCCAAGTTCTCTCTTAGAGCAGGATCTGTGACGTTTCGATGGGGGCCAACGTCCAAATATTTTTAGTTAGAGGCAATTTAGCAGAGACCGTTTGAACCGGTGGAACACAGGAGACTGCAAAGGTACGGTAGATTAATTTTGGCTGATCTCTGTTGACAGACGCCTGTTCATCACGGTCGACACCGAAACCACGGCCGCCGACGCCGACGCCTCGACCGAACATCACATTCCACATGTACACGTGTCCACCGGATTATGCGGAATGGTACTGCTTGAACGGTGCCACATGTTTCACTGTCAAAATCGTCGATTCCCTCCTTTACAATTGTTTGTAAGTACACTGCTGTTTACTTATTTTTCTGCTTGCATTTGCCTTTCTGAGAGGACGATTGCAATTCGAAACGTGTCAGTATCTCGCAATTAGACTGCGAATGTAAAATATACGAGGTAAAAGTAAAGATTTTTAGATACTTTAGTGTCAACTCTCAAAGTATCGTAATTTATATGAAATCGTCGAGATTTGTAGTGCTCCGTTTTCATTTCGTGTTTGTTACATTCTCCGGCGACGGAGGCCGGATAATAAACTGCAATGCGAGTTAAAAAAAGTTTCAAAATTGAAACGATCTAATCTTGGATTGTTGTGGCCTGGGTAATGAGTTAAAAGTTAAAGTTATGCAGTACTCCAGACATGTAGCTAGTACAAAAATCGCAATCGCAAGATTTTTCGCAGTTGGCAATTAACAATCGGTACAAGCTAGAACGGCTGTGCTAACAAACCTTTCACTATCAAATCTATCATTTAGCCTCCTGCACGTTCTACAACGTTCTACCGAGACCTTTTCAGAGGAACCACACACGATCTTCGAGGCTGGAAACGCAGTCGTGATCAAAGACCACACGCGCATGAGAATTCAGCCAGAGTATTTGTTCCGCAAACGAGACTTGGCGGAATATTCGAATCACGGTTCGACTCGCGTGCTTCTCGCGTCCGATAGAACAGCCGTTAACCGATTATTACCTATCGTATCTATCCAGCATAGCGACGTTACCGTTCATTTCAGACATCCACCGTGAATGATGCCAATGGCAGGTTCCGTTGCCAGTTCGAAACGCTGTTTTATTCGATCGTGGCTTAATTCGTGTTTTCTAATTCGTACGTTCACTGCCACGTGAAATTCATGTATATGTATTTTGCCTGTGGAGTGGAATACTTAATTTTCAGTCAATTTAATTGTTTTTTTTTTTTTCTTTAAATTGAAATATTAATTTTAATTTTAGTTGATTCGGTTATTTCTTAATTAAAGTAAAAAAATAAATCTAATTTTCAATGAATTTTATTTAATATTTAATCTACAGTGTTTTCTAGTATTCTACATCGAATATTATGTTTATGGGAATAACATAGTTGATTACCTACGACCATCGTGGCAGCGAACGTGTTAACACGACGAGGTCTAACTAACTTTTAGTTAGAATTTTAGACTTACGTAGCATTTGGGAGCAGCTTTTTCGTCGATAACCATCGATCTATCCCTGTCTACCCCCGTTCCAGGGTACTTCAGTGTACCTGTTCCGAGATTATTTACGTTTAAAGTAGCTACACAACTGCAACAGGATGATTTACGACTCGTGTAACGTTAGTGCCCATTTGCGTCTACTCTCCTTCGATCATTCGGCTCCGTGTATTTTCTTTTTTTTTTTTTTTTTTTTTTTCGAAGGTTTCTATAAACAACATAGAAATTCACTTTGCGAAGGTTCGATCAAGATTTCGTTCGACTTGCCGGATCGGTTCGCAAACAATCCGCCTCGTGTGACTAGCCGTCGTTCGAAATCGACGTCCCATTTAGAGGGCCTCTCGAACGATCGCTTTCCAAGAGGAAGCAGAACTATCTCACGGTGGAAGGATTGCGACACGGCCGTATCACGCGTGGAATTTCAGCGGCGAGAAGACGCTTTGGAATATTACGTAACGAGACACACCCTTTGTAAATAGCAGCCAGTCGGTGTGATCGGAACGAAAATACCGGCTGAACGCGACCGGCTCTCTCGCGATCGTTGTTAAATCTTTCTCCATACTATTCGAGAGAAGAGGAAAAATTCGTTCTCTCGCAGAGGAAAAATTCAGAGTTACTTCTCGATTGCACGACCAGGCGCAGAAGTATTTTGATTGACACGCTCTTGCGACAGAAGTTTCAAAATACTTGTCAACGACGATGCGATCGGAAATCAGTTGCAATTGACATATGCAGATTTTATATAATTTTGAGGGTAACTCGAATGTTTATATTCAAAAAAAGATTATGAATTTTTATTTCTTACTACTATTACCGATTCAGGCGTACAATCTTGTCCAGATGAATTAACATTCTCGTTGATAGGAATTTTGAAATTTGTACAGAGGAAATCGTTCAGAGTTAAACAGTTGGCAATACTGTCTGCGACCTCATCTGAAAAATAAATTCCAATCTTATTATTAATTCAATTCCAATCCTATTGGAATGATTGAATCTATCACCCGTATTACTGAAAATTAATTTTCATT